CCCCCCCCGACGGAGCGCCCCGCGGCCGGAGCATCCTCGGCGGGGCCGCGGCAGCCCCGCGCTGCGAGGAGGGGGAGCTCCCCGAAGCCCCACTGTCTGAGAACCCCCGCACGCCGTGTCCGTCCTTTTTCCCCAGGCAGGAGCCATTTCCCGCACTTTGGCCGAAGTGCGGAGCCGGGCAGCGGGAAGGGGCTCGCAGCCTCCCGGGAGCGGGGAAGCGACGACGACAGCTCAGCGTCCCCCTCGAGGGCCTGGGGTGTTGCAGGCCACAGGATAAAACCTCGTGGGTGATGAGGAACACTTCACAGGTCATCCTGCCCGTGGGTGAGGCTGTCCTGCCTTCCTCCATCACCCACTGCGAGAGAAAGCGGGACACGTGCGGGGCTGTCCGGCCCCACTCCCATCAGCCCACCTTGGCATTTGTGTGTGACCTGAGGGTGATGCTGATGACCTCCTGGGGCTTCACGGGAACACACAGTGGTTTGGAAAGGGACCTTAAAGCTCATCTCGTTCCACTCCCTGCCATGGGCCGGGACACCTTCCACTAGATCACTGCCCACAATGTTGGGTTCCTGCAGCTTCTCCTGGTGTTCCACAGAGCAGCTGCTGCAGCAGCGGGTGCTGGTGCTGCTCAGTTCCTTGGTTCCCATTCTTTGTCTCCAAACACAGCAATCCCTCAGCTCTGGCCCCACCATGTCCCATTCACTGTTCACCCTTCCCCATGCAGAGCTGGGCTGGCTGGGGCAGCTACTGCCACACACAGCCCTGGGGAGATTGTACCAGTGCCATGTGACTTCCTCTGTGACACGGTGGCTTTACAGCTCTGTGCTGAGTAAGGTCATCACCTTGCTCTTCCAGCACTGTGGAATCTGCCTGGCAGCAGAGACAGAAAGCATTTAGCAGGAGCTGGAAGAGGATCACAGACAGGTTTATGCCAGCAGTGAGTTCTCCAGCCCTGTTCCACATGGCTAATCCCTGAGCAGAGATGTGACCTCTCCCCATCACTGGTGCAGGAACACCCAGGACACCCCCAGACTCTCCCACTCTCACCATCTCCAAGTGGGAACTGAAATTTGGCCCAGGCAAGTTCTGCTTCACCAACATTTCTGTAGTGCTTGAAGTGGGCATTCTATGTTCTGATGTTGTCTAGAGAAGGTGTGGCCGCCCCATGCCTGGAAGTCTCCAAGGCCAGGTTGGACAGGGCTTGAAGAAACCTGGTCTAGTGGAAGGTGTCCCTGCCCATGGCAGGGGGTGGGACTGAATGAGCTTTAAGATCTCTCCCAACCCCAACCAGTCTGGGATTCTGTGATTTCAGGGATGACATGGAGGGGTGTCCAATGTCAGCCTCTCCCTGTCCAGTGCCGTGACCAGCGGCACCCACAGCCCCCCCAGCTCATGGCACGGCACCCACCTCTGGCACCCTTGGGACCTCCAGCAGGGACTGACCAGGACATCAAATATTCTTTCAGTAGAAACATCAAAAGCAAGGAGAAGTCCTTGCTGTTACAGGCAGTTGCACATAAAACTGGTGCTGCCCAAGGAATGTTTGTGTTGAGGGCTGTGCCCACTGGAGATGGGAAATTGCCGTTGGCAGAGGAGCACTGGCATGGCAGGGACAGCTTCTAGAAGTCAGTAGATGGAAATTTGTCTCCAAGGAGATCCACTGTAGCATGAAATATGCCTTTTTTGTCGCAGGGAGTTCTTCTCCCTTCATGTATGTTCCTGATAAACATCTCCAAGGTTTTGTAGGGCACTAAGACTTGCAACTTAAAAAACTCTGGATGAGTCAAGTCCTTACAGGCAGACCTTACTCCCCAGGAAAGTGTGGAGTGGGAGAAACACAGAGCTGTGCCGTGGGGGAGCTGGGAACCTTCTTGGGGGACAAAAAACCCCCAGGCCAGGGCCTGGAAAGGGGAAGGCTGGGACACATGGAACTTAAAACCCCAGTTCCCTTTGTCTTACACCACTTTCATAGTGATTTCACTGACTTCAGAGGAAACAGGAAAACCAAGGCAAACAAAGGGCAGGCCAGAATACTCACTCCCTGAAAAAATGTGGATCCCAGGCACATCCCTGAATACTGCTCAATGCAAAACTCAAGTTGACCAGTCGAACAAGTCCTTAACCTGGGCCTCACCACATGGACTTCAGTATTTCCACTGATATCCCCACATAAACAACACCCTCTGTGCTGTGATCTAGCCATTTGTAGGCCTGGCTAAGGAAAGTTTCAAAATCATGAAATTCCTTCAGCAAATTTCATAGGAAAGCTGGATGTGTTCCCTAAGGGGGTTCTGCAAGTTTAGGCTCAGAAGTGTCTGTGGGACTCACACCAGCTGGGAAGATCATGGGGTAAATCCAAGTATCACATGCTTCAGACTGATAACCCTGAAATAAATTTATTTTTATTTTAAAAGTCTGGAATATAGAGAGAAGGAACAGTTTTAAGGACACAGATCCCTCTATTTAATAAATGTTGGAGCTACACAGCTTCAAAAATGTTCCCTGTAGAATTCCCAATATATTTTTTCCCCCCTCTGGTTTTACTAAGTCTTCTCAAGTGCTACTTGATATATTCCCAGACAATGACGATCCCCATTTCTGGAGGCTTTAATTGTAAGATTGAGAAGAGCAGATGAGTCATGGCTGTGGTGTTATAGACACAGGCTGATTTTTAGGTCATCCTCTAAGTAGGGCACAGGGGATGGTAACTGAGAGTCCAGTTGGGTGCTGGGAGAGGGTGACGGTGGCTCCAGGCGGGGCATGAGGGGACCTGTCAGTTCAGGGCAGGAAGATCAATGACTTTGGAAACTATGTGAATGATCAATAAAGGGCCTTCTCCTTGGGAGGGTTGGAGGCAAAAAGCAAAACTGAGAGGGTAGAGACAGGACCGGGATTGTAACTAGATGCTCCTTAAGGTCCCTTCCTACCCAAACTCTTCTAGGACTCTATGGAATGGAAAGGGTGGGAACAGCCCTGCCCAGGTCAAGAGTCAGCACATCACTGCCCTGCCACTGCCACCACCACTGCCACCACCACTGACACCCCACTCCTGGCCTTACCAGTGTCCAGCATTTTGAAGGAAAAGGCTCTGAGATCTCTGTGCATGAAAAAACTGGCCACAAAGCGCAGTGGTAGTCAGGAGAAGCAGCCGGTCATTTCACCCAACTGTCCTTTCCACCCTCTTGATTGTGGCAGAATTTAGAAGACCATGAAGAGAGGTGAAAAACTAGGGCTGAAAGGAAGAAAAATCTTCAGGGAAACCCAAAAAGTCCCTGGTACCACCTTCCCTCCTCATCTCCAGTGTGTGGCTGATTGATAATTGTCATTATCTATGAGGTATTGCTGGAGCTCTACCATCAGAGGATGTGCCCACGCCTTGTGAGCTTTCCTTCCTCATAGTGAGCTCTGAGAGTTGGAGAAACTCATGGTTTACAGGGGACTTTGGCAAGGGTTAATGTTAAAAATGGAGAAGAAACACAGGACGATCAGCACTGAGGGGCTGGAGAACTCTCTGGAATAGCTCAGGATATTTGCATCTCTGGGGCCTGTAGTGCATCAAAGAATGGAAAGTATATTGGGAAAAAGTTAATTTTTCTGGAGTATCTGACATGGGCATCAAAAGTTATAACCCTTCTTCAAAATGGAACAACTTATTTCTGCTAGTTAATAGTGAAATTATTTAATCTATATCATCTGGAAGCACTTTAAAAACCTGTTATAAAATATAACCACCAGAGACCTTAAATTGCTCACTCTTGCCTTGCTCATCAGAAAGACAAAAGAATCCAGGAGAGGAGCTGGGACAAGCCTGATCTCCTCCTCCAGGACATAGCCTGTAGTCTAGCGGAAGGTGTCCCTGCCCATGGCAAGGGGGTGGAACAAGATGAGCTTTGAGGTCTTTTTAAAGCCAAACAATTCCAGGATTCCACGTGCTGGTTTAAATGAGGTATTGGGAATAAATCCTTCCCTGTGAGGGTGGTGAGGCCCTGGCAGTTGTCCAGAGAAGCTGTGGCTGCCCCATCCCTGGAAGTGTCCAAGGCCAGGTTGGAGAGGGCTTGGAGCAACCTGGGATAGTGGAAGGTGTCCCTGCCCATGGCAGGGGCTGGAATGAGATGAACTTTAAGGTCCCTTTCAACTCACACCAGTCTGGGATTCCATGATTCTGTGAATACTCACGAGACACATGAAGGCCACTGGGATGTTCATTGCTGGTGCCAGGGGTCAGGACCATTGTCAGATGAATTCCTAATCCTCTCCCTTCCGTTTTGTTTCCTCCCAGCCATGTTTCATGCTCCCAAAATCTGATGTTCGGGTGGTGCACAGAAACCTCCTCTCCTATTTAAATTCCTCCCTGGAGAAGCTGAGCTCTCTAGGTCTATCCAGTAAAAGAAGTACTTAAATATCTGCTTCGAACCCAATCCCAGCTGTCTCCCAAACACATAATTTCATCTGAATTTACCACAATTCATGCATGACTTTCCCTGTCAGAGCCGCCCGGATGAAGAGCAGATGAAGGTCATTCCTAACTCTGCTGCTGGCATGGGGAAATGAGAATTGCTTTGATGCAGAGGC